ACCGTTCCCCCAGCACTGCCAAGCCCATGTCCCCAACTGCCACATCTACACGGCTTTTAAATCCCTCCAGGGATGGCGACTCCATCACTGCCCTGGGCAGCTGTGCCAGTGTTTGGGAACCATTTGGGGGCAGAAATTGTTCCTAATATCCAACTTAAACCTCCCCTAGCACAACTTGAGACCATTTCCTCTCATCCTGTTGCTTGTTACCTGGGGGAAGAGACTGACCCACACCTGGCTCCACTCTCCTGTCAGGGAGTCGCAGAGAGCAAAAAGGTCCCCCCTGAGCCTCCTTTTCTCCAGGCTGAGCCCCCCCAGCTCCCTCAGCTGCTCCTCATCAGACTTGTGTTCCAGACCCTTCCCCAGCTCCGTTCCCTTCTCTGGACATGCTCCAGCCCCTCAATGTCCTTCCTATAGTGAGGGGCCCAGAACTGAACACAGCACTCAAGCTGTGGCCTCACCAGTGCTGAGTTGCACGGGTGCCTTTTGCTGGAGACAGGCACCAGCCTGGCTGGGCAGCAGGGGCAGAGAGCTTGGGTGAGGACTGCCACGACCCCACTCCGACCCCACAGCTCCGGGGGGATGCTGCTCCAGTGCCCCGGGCAGCCCCAGCCCTCTGCACCAGCCCTCTGCACCGTCTCCCAGCAGCTCCCAGGAATTCACAACAGCACTTTTGGGACACACGAGCAGCTGAGCCCAGCTGCCCACCCACCACCCCAAAACACACTCCAGCTGCACCAAGGTTTTCCTCTCTCTGCTGTGGCTTAGCTTGGATTCCATTTCTATAAATCACAGCTCACCTCTATGCCATGACACCTTCCCTATCCGTATGAAGAATCCCTAATGACACTGTGTTCTTAGAGGTTTTTTGTTTTGCTTTTGGGGTTTTTTTTTGTTTGGGTTTTTTGCATTTTGGTTTTGAGTGGTTGGTTGTTTGTTTTTTTCCGTTTTTTAATTATTATTTTATCCTAGCTTTCTTGATCCTTTTCTAAGGTGTTTTTCCAAGGACTTTTCATGGGCTTGTATTGTCTGGTGTTGTCGAGTCCTTGAAATCATTACAATGGTAGGAGCTATTTAAACACTTCAGCTAAAACCGACAAAATTCTAAAGGCACACACTGGAAAATAAAAATCTGCCCTTGAGGCCAAGGGGATATTTGCCAAAGCATTTCCCATCCCCTCTTCCAGCCTGTTTTCCAATTGTAAGCTTCACCAGGAAAGCAACTTCTCCTGCACATTTATGAAGTGCCCACTAACCACACCATGTAGCTGTGCAAGCCTGAAGTCATCCAAATTCCTTGCCCGCAGCATTTTTGGGGCAGAGAAACACTGGCGTATAAATACGATTATTTAGCACGCAGCCCCGGCAAGCGGTGGGACCTTCCATGGGTCACAGCTCCATCTACTGACTACTCCACAAAATAACAGTGTGGAAAGCCTCGAGAAAGCTCTTGGTAGCAAGAATCATCCCCTCGGACCTGCCTTTGGACACAAGGCTCTGTGCAAGCCTTTAGAAAGGATCCCAGCACAGCAGCTCAGCCCCAAACGGAGAAGCAATTTTACCTTTTCTGCAAAGAAGCCTCTTGGCACAGCAACAGGTCTGGGGTCACTCCTGAACCTACAACCACAGGGCCTCAAACTGTGGTATTTTAGTGCTTCTGGAATTACTGCTGCAGTGCTTTGAACAGAAGACTTATTTAAACAGGGACAACATGTGCTTGGGGCTGAGCACTCCAGCAAAGTTTGGGTCCAAGCATAAAATGGAAAACATTGTGTTTGTTGGATGTGCTGCTATCTGAAGTGTGGCAGCAGCTGAGCACCATGTGATAGGAAAAAAAATGTCATTTTACAGAAAAACTGAGACTAGACCACCGTCATGTGAAATCTGAGGAAGATCAGGGAAGTGGATATGGATCACTGAAGCCACATCTCCCTCTCTAACCACCAGGCCCTTCTTATGTGCAGAGTATCTCCCTGAATCATAAAGGAGATCACCCCTCCCATTCACAGTGAAGGAAAAAGAATAAAGAAAAACACTGCAATGATTTATCTGCCCAGAGGGAAACAATCTTTACAGTCTTCTCTACAGCTCAGAGGAGACCTTGCCCTTGCAAGCCTCCTGTTTGCTGATGAGGCTCCAGATGAGCCCCGTTCTGCCTCTTGTGTGTCATTGCAAAAGAGCCAGAACTGAATCAGAGGCTTTTACAGACTTCAATACACGAACTAGTTTGTCCCAAATATCAGCAAACTTCAAGCAGAAACTGCTCACCAGAAAGCTGGACACCACGGAGCCTGGCTCAGAGCTGTCACAAGACCAAGAGACACGAGAATAAGTCTCTTTTCAGGCCAGTGGAACAGAAATACATAACACTAACCTCATTTTATAGTCAAAGGGGAGAGTTTGGGAATCATGCTGTAAGTCATCAGTGTGATGCAGCAGATTTAATTCCCAAGCTCCCATCACCACACCCTGTATATACACCATCCTCCAGTACAATTCCACAGCCAAAACAAGTCTGTTCTCCCCAGATGGGTCCCAGTCTCTTCTGTGACCCAAACCCACTGCACATCCACACCTGAAAAAGGACTACCCTGCACTACATTGCATTTTCAAGCCCTCCCAGCTCTACTTCCTGCAGCAAACTCCTGGTGTGTGCTCAGCCCTGGGCCTTTCCCATTCCCACTCACATTTCTTCTTTTTTTAGAGGCATTGGGAGAATGGGAGTCACTTTAGCCCCATGTCCCTGTTCAAAACCATCTCTCAGCCTAAACACCACCATCTCCACAGCCCTAAAGCAGGAACTCTGATCCTCACTGGGACCTGAAGAATAGAGAGTAAACAGAGGCTCATTCTGGTCCCTCCTTTCCACCCCTCTCCCCATGCAGCACCTGCACACATTCCAAACAAATGGAAAAAAAATCTTGATAATTCACTTTACTTTATTCTGGCACAAGGATATATAACTTCCAACTTGCTGCCCAATGGGGTCTTCCAATGTAAAACTTGGATTAAAGAGACAACAGCAGCACACTTTTAGGGGAAGCCATGCTGTGTGAATTAGAGCCTCACCCACAGGTTAAAGCTCACACAAATAGATTTTACTGCACCTCTCTGCCCTTGGAGCAGTAGACAAAATGTAGCCAAGAGAAAGTCAATTCCTGACTCCATCTGAAGGCACATTTGTGCAAGGATAAGAATGGGATCACTGGAGAAGTCACGTGGTTAAAGACTCGCTGATGGTTCATGGAAGACTCCAGGCTTTGCTTACACATCATTTTCTGTATTTTGTTCCTTCCATTTTATTACTAGAGACAGTTGCATGAGAACAGGATCTTTGTTGCTTAGGAGAGCATCTGCTCCCACTACTTATCCTCCTCCTGAAGTCATAATCTTACGTGACATCAAAATCGTTTCCAGAGCCACCAATTACAATGTCACAGAGGATTATGACTTCAGGTGTAGAATTTGCAGAGGGAGCAGATGCTTTCTTCAGCAGAAAAAGAAAAAAAAATTATAAAACCCAACCTTCAAAAAAATCCTGTTTTGATACAAGTGTCGCTATTAATAAAACACAAAAGAAAAAAATAAGTTTGACAGCCAGAACTGTCGCTAAATACAAAAATAGTTCTTTAACATTTCCATGAGGCATCAGCTGCTCTTTGGAAAGTTCCCAGGGTTTAGATTATTAAGAGGTATAGAATGCAGCGAGAATCTGTCCATGACAGAGAAAACAAGGGAGAAAATACTGCAGAATGGTGTATTTCTGCCCAGCAAGTGGACATTTAAATTTTGGCCAGTGCTGCAACGGCACCTCAGAGGCGAGAGAAAATAAAAAACAGGAACTGTGGATTTGTGGTTCTTTCTAAGGATCCCCAAAGCACAACTGAAATCAAACCAGAAATGTTTTTACAGATAAGAAGCCCCGTGAAAAACAAACTCAAAGAATCCTTGTCGCATCACAAGGAATTTACTCAGATGCTTCCAACAATCCCTATCCCAGAAGGACACAGAGGCTTTCAGAGGCAGTAACAATCTCGGGAGCAGTTTGGTGGGGAGCTAATATAGTCACAGGCTCTTCTGGATTTGTTCCACGGAAACAAGCCAAGTGTAATAAGTCAGTTTGAAGCTGGAGGAAGGCTGGGGGGGAGGAGCACCCTTTAGGATGCACTAATAACGCCGTGCGATTTGAAATTTTTATTAGAGCTTAACAGGGCCCAGCAACAGTAGGTGACAAAGAAAACAGACTGAAGGCGGGGAAAAAAAGCCTTATAGAAAAAAAATAATAATGGAAAGTCTGTTGCATGGGAAATATTTTGTAAGGTGACTGCCACTATTAGAAGATTTCCAAATGCCAAGCGTAATTAAAAGCTCTCTTTTCAAATGCAGTTCACGGCTCACACACAAACGTTTCCCACCACGTGAGGCTCAGAACACTGCAAGGGGCCAAGCAAAATGCATTTAAGAACTGCCAAACGTGCAAAGGCAGTTTGTACCAATTCTCCCCCCTCACGCATCCCCCAGAAGAAAAAACCCTTCACAACAACCCTTTAAAGGCTTTGAATTGCGCTGCCAGGGGATTATCAGTAAGTGACATTTACAAGTGATTAGAGGACAGAGAATTATCTTAGTCACTTGTGGGAAAGGAGGAAAGCTTCAAGGTCAAATCTCTCAGTACTTAAAATGTCGGCAGATGTTTTGTTTACACAAAAAAGTGTCATTTGATTTATGATGGAGCTTTACATCCAGGGCTTCAACTCAGCCAACGGAACTGCAGAGAACATGGGTGGGAATGGAATCAAAAATTCATATGATACCTTCAGATACTTCACTGATTCACTCTTATTAAAGTAAGAGGCCGGTTTACGTGCCAAGCAGTTACGCAGTACCTATTAGCTTCTTGGAACAAGCGCTCCAAGCCATATAAACCTTGGCAAGCAAGGAAACGGAGATAAATCTCCAACAGCTCCAAAAATCCCACATCAACCCCCTTCCGCACTCACCTCCGCACAATGGATTGCTGGAGATTTTTGCAAACGGTAAGAGATTCTCCCATAAACATGTGGCACATGATGACCTCAAGGCAGTTGGCCATGAATGACATCACTGCGTCAGACTGCAGAGTCCCGCTCCGGGAGACGATGCAAAGCCGCTGGAGAGAGGAGCAGTGACTCAGTGCCTGGAAGAACTGGGCGCCCGCACAGAAGTACGGCTGTTCCAGCCTGCGGGAATAAACAAAAACATCAATGGGCAATTCACACTTGGGACAGCTCTCAGACAAGAGGGAAGGCAGCGCATTCATGGGGGGATGGCAAATGGATCGAGCAGTGTCGCCACTGCTGACAGACAAGGACACAAAGGGGCAGAAAGGCCCTAAATGACAGAATTCCGGTGCCCGCAGGGAGCAACCCTGGAATAACCCTGGTTTTGCAAGTTTTCCACAAAGTATGTCTGGTAAGACAAGCCTTGGTGCTGAGCAGCAGATCCATTCTGGTCCTACAAGAACAGCCTGGTTTTTGCTACCTGACATCCACTGAGCAGGTGATGTGGATTCTGCTCCAGTGCACAAGCACTGACCAAAACGGTCATATCTTCAGTTTAATACCTTCACTTTACTGCCTAGAGAGAAGCAGGCATGAAAAACACGCAGTGCACACAGGGTGATGCAGAACTTAAGCCTCTGGGACCAAGAGAGTGACCACAACCATCCCTGGCAAAGGATCAGAGGTACTGCTTGCCCACGGGAAGAACAACCATCATCAACCCAATCTTCATCCTAAACACTTGGCCCAGAGAAGAGAGACAGGATCCTCTGTCATGGTAATCCAGCAGGAAAACAAAATGACACAGTGAAGCCATACCTGGCCAATGTGGGGCCTGTGTTTTAACCAGCAGCATATCTGGGTGACTCCCTCACAGAAACCAGCCTGCAGGAAGCAGAACCTGCTCAGGGCTGGTGTTACCAGGAGAGTTCATCTGCTTAGAGCAGATTTACTACAGGGCTTCAGAGCACTTGGGAATCTCAGTCATTGGGTCAGGAAGGCCAAGAGCTCCAAGAAGGTTAATCCATTAGGTGATAACAAGCTGTCGGTCCCAGCCTGATCTGGATAATCTCTGCACAGGCTTTTGTAGTACCCAGGGGTATCTCAGCAACTTAATCCTGTTAATTGATAAATTCTGTTTTAGTCTCAGCCTGCAACTGCTGTCGGGTGGCATTGCCTGAAGAGATCCTAAGAGCATATCAGTGCTTTGGGTAATAAATTAAAATTAATATCAAAGAGATGGGCACCCTCTTCAATTTTTCAACAGCATCATTGGGTCACTGAAAATTTAGGACAAAAAGCTCAGCATCCTGACAGCAGGTTTGCAGGTGAATCCCTGAGACGCGCCAGCCACACTTGCAATGCCGCCCTTCACTCGCTAGATGGCAATGTTGCTTTGGAAGATCGCCTTAAACTCAGACTGGAAAAAATGGGAAGGGAAAAAAAGGGTGGGAACAGCAGGGAATCAGTCAAATGAAAAGGAAACTACATTATCAGGAGGAAGTGCTAAACACTAAAACCATCTTAAGCCCATATAAAACATGAGATCTTAGTCAGGAAAGAGGAATGATAGCTTGCATGGAAGCATGGTACAAGGAGACATCCTTGTTCCAGCCTTTATTCCAGGCTCTATGCTGCCTCCCACCTGTATTTATTGCTCCTGGCCTCCATTTCAAAGCCTCTGGAAACTACAGGGCCCAGGCTGAGCAAAGGAACACTGCACACCCAAACCTCCTTTCCCAGCCCTCAGTCCTTCCGTGGCTCTTTGCTCTCCTGAAGGTTAAAGACACTTTCACGTAACCCAAGACATCGAGCAAATGGATTTCCAACAGCTGCCATCTCTTGGATGAGAGATCTGCATGTTCCTTGCCTGTTATAAATGGGAAGTGGTGGAACATGAAAACCCTCCTGAAGTGTTTTAGCCACCCTGGATCCCTCCACTGTTGCAGTGGATCAGAACAGGCCCACAAACACCGGTCCCAGCTGATGAGCAACAATTTCAGTCACAGCAACTGAACTGTGCCCACAGAGTGACCTTGCTGCCACAACTATTCAGCATTTTGGAGCCTTTTGTGAACAGTCCCATTGTGACAATGGGACTAACAGGTTCTGCATTTTCACCAAAATAACCTGATTTGGGGCAGGGGGAAAGAAAAAAAGCATCTTTCTAAAGTAATAACATTTGTGTTCATACAGGACTGGTGCAAGGAAACTATCAGTTTGTGCCCTTTGCTTTCACGAGCACATTTTGGCTACCATGAAGCTCCTTTGTGCACCCCTTAGGATCAGATTCTTTAAATCCTACCAGGAGAGGAACACCAACAGGACAAACTGTGAATTTGGAATGTTTTCAGTAAATTACCAAGAAAAGAAATAAAAAAACAAAGAGGTGAGGTTTTAATACAAACCAAAGGCAGAAAAATATCTCATTGGGAAACCTGAGGAGAACTCTACATTATCTGGACAGTATAGTAACCTTTTCTTTCCTGGAAATTTAAGAGATGTACATATACACAAAGCCAAAAAGTCAGCAAAAGCTCATAGTATTTAACCAGCTCTGACAGGCTGCTAGCTCCAAAATATGCAGCATCCACTCTTTCTTATCTAAGAGGAAGGCAGTCACAGCATTTTTTATTCTTAAAACACTGGTTAAAGGGCACATCCTGAGCCTCCAAGGAACACATGCAATGCCTTCCCATTCTTCACAAGTCAGGAAGGAAAATACCCAGTTTTCAAGCCACTGCAGCTACTACAGTTTTAACAGTAACCACAACAAACTAAACACTTCTGGAGACCCACAAACAAAATGGGAGATGTTCAAGGGCAGCCCCTCACCTGAGATCTCTCAAACACTTGCAGTGTTTCAGCATGTCCATGAGAGCAGACATATAGACCACCTTCCCCATCATGCCCAGGTTGGCCAAGGAAAGAGTCCGCAGGTGCTGGCACTGCAGCCCGATGTTAACGAGCCCAGAGCCAGTGAGAATATTTGGCAGCTGTGCTAAGGTGAGGCTCTGCAGGTAAGTCAATTGGCTAATGGCAGCCACCTCTGAATCCCCCACGCTTTGTGCCCTGACACAAGGAGGCAACGAGTTCCGAATTGCTGGCTCGTTGCGGGGCATGGCAGAGGAGAAACTGGACCCAATTATCTCCAAGGTTTCCAAAAACCGGAGGCTTCCCATCAGAGCCCAGAACACTGAGGACTCTATCTTCTGATTTGCCTGGTCCGCTAAGTTCCTTGGATATGTCTGTATCCCAATCCGAACTTTCCTTCCAAATGTTTGGGGCACCAAACTAGGAGCCGTGGGAGGCTTCTCCACGGTTGCAGCAACATCTGTGATGGAGCAAACCGGCAGTGCTAACGAGAGCAGGTGCTTTAGCCTGGACAGCAGCTGGCACAGGTGGTTCCCAATGCTTTCAGAGCTGTGATGGTGAGCTGCAGACAGGTTGAGGTGCCTCAGGTTGCAGCAAGACACTACCAGGCTTTCCAAAATGCTGCTGTCAATGTCATCTTCTGCTTTCCGAAACAAGGACTCCGGAGCCAGACAGTGAACACAGCCACTGAGATTCAAACTGGTCAGGCTTTTAAGATCCTTCCCTCCATTAATGACCCTCTGGATCAGGTGCCCACCAGATAAGGTGCATCGGCTAAAGCTGAAGTAGAAAGGGTTGTTGAACTTCAAGTGTTGCAGGAGCCCGGAGCCGTTAATCCAGGCTTTGGGCAATTGTAAAGCATCCAGACGTACATTTCGAGCCATGGAGTCCAGGAGGTTTTTGGTGGCTCCCGTCTCCGCAAAGCTGCCGGGGGCAGAGATCAGGAAGGCGTGGAGGTTCTCAGGCGTCCGATCACTCAGCACTGCCAAGTACAGCCTCACCACCTCCTGATTGACGTAGCCAGGAGCCAGCCTGGCGTAGAAGATGCGGAGGTTCTGGTAGTGGGGCACGTTGCTCTCGCCCACCATCAGCTGCCCAGAGAGCATGAACCCCTCTCGCGAGCGGTCGAGGATCTCAAAATAAAGCAGCAGTTTCTCAAGGCTCGTGCAGCACGGGACGACGCCGTACGACGGCGTGTAGAGGGTTTGCTTCAGCTCCGAGACACGGCTGAGGGTGGCTTTGCACTCACTGCTCAGCTGGCTGGCATCAAAGCCCGGGTTGACATCGATGGCCAGGGAGCGCAGGTGCTGGAGCGTGGAGAGCATCTTGGAGAGCCGGAGAGAGGTGACGTGGCACCCGGACAAGTTGAGCTTCACCAGGTTCTTGCAGCGTGTTACGTGATCGATGGTGGAGCTGGGCAGCCAGTAGCACCCGGCCATGTTCAGCTGGTAAATCTCCTTCCCGATATCCCTCATCAGCTGCTTCACTTTGTCTTTGTTCACCTGCACCCAAACAAAACCACAGTCAATGAGATATAAGGCACTGACTCAGTTCCCCAGCTGGAGATGGGGATAAGAGTGTTTGGCACTTAGATTATGTGGCTCATCCAAAGGTTTGGGCATGGCAGCCCAGCACCTCAGTCTGCCATGCTTTGGACTCCTAAGATTACACATCCTTTAGCTTCTTAGCCTGCGCAGTTCTGCATTACAGCTGTTCAGCAGCTGAGAGTGGAATGGAAACCACCTCCATTTTCTACCAGCAAATCTATTTCAGCAGAACTATCTATGGAAACTCAAACTGAAAGAAGAATGTTTCCATTCTTCTTCATCCAGTTTCCTCTTCTGGAAATGAGTAAGAGAGGCTTTCCCTTGCCCACACTTGGTGATACAGTTCCCATAAAACCATTATCACCCTTTAGTCCCAAGCTTTATTTCTGTCATAGCACATACACAAATTCTAGTTTCACTGACTGCATGCCTGACAGCAACACACACAAGATTTTTTTTGCACAGCAACAGGGAAAACATATTTTGAGAAAATGGTAACTCAAATGGCTACAAAATGGCAGGTCACGTTTACTTTTGTTTTAGCTTCCAGAAACACAGAGAAGTTTACACTGACAGTATTTTATAAAACTAAGGGAGCACAGAGCTGTTCTAACAAAGCATTCTGGAAAACAAATGCTTTTATAAAACAGTTTATTGTGTGCTTGATTTCAGAGTTCAAGAACAGTCCATTCATGCAGACACATTGGAAAGTTCTACTTGGTGTTTTTTCAGAGGTCAGATTTGTCTTCACAGCTAACAGAAGAAGCAAGCTACTCTCCCCACCTTATAGTCCTTCTGAAGGAGAACTGTATGTGTTAGACTCTTGTCAAGGCAAAGCGTTGCGAGTTTCCTGCAGGTTCTCCTGACATTCAGAACAAGGTCTGTGCAAGGGACGTAGCTGAGGATGTGCAGAAGGATCTCATCTGAGAACTCCATCAAGTTGACACCATTGCTTTCCTCCTCACTCTCCTCGCTTACAACCTCCTGGGGGGAGAAACAAAAAGAAAAAAGAGTAAAGCTACTGGCTCAGAAACTTCAGCAACACTTTTGAGTAAACAGATACCCCGAGTCTGATAAGGATTTTTAAAGTGAGACAAAACAGAAACACCTGGATCTTTAAGTACTTCCATCTGCATGAAGAAACCAAAAAGCTTTCCCTCAGAAGACAACACAGAGATAGTGCAAAACTTCACACGAGCCACAGTACCTTCACCCACTCTTTTACTGCTGGGGCTTTGGAATAGGGAGGAAAAAAAACATTTCCATTCATTCCGCTTAGTCTGCAGCTGGAAAAGTGACTGTCCCTGATTCTTTCCTAAATATATCGCAGCCGTCTCTTTCTACATCTTTCCTCCAAGCGCCATCCGTTTCAATAACCTTAAGAGTTATATAACCATATCTATATATATGTGTGTACATGGTTATATATACATATTTACACATACACACACCAACACTGCAGTCCAGCACCGGACCACCCACAGCTCTCCTGCCACATGCCCACACCTTAACCACGAAACCACAGCCCAAATTGTCATTAACTTCACGGCACCTCCTGAGGGGAAGGGGGGCTGCTCTCACCTCACAGCCCCTGTGACCCCCCCCAGAAAACACCCTGGGGAGGGCCATTTCGGCGGCCCGGCCCCACCGCGGAGCGCCCTCCCCGTCCCCGAGTCCGGATCCTGCCCTGAGGGGCTCCCGGCTGCCCCAGCCCCGGTCACCGGCGTCCCGAGGGGCGGGTGCTAAAGGGAAGCGGGAGGCGAACGGAGCCCCCCAAGCCCCGACTCACCTCTCCAGAGCGGAACATGGCGGCGGCCGCGCGGCCCCGCCGCAGCCGCCACCGCCTCCCCGCGCCCCGCTCGGAGCGGCCGCGTTCCGGGCTCGCTCCCCGCCGGCCCGGCCGCCTCACGGCTCTTCCGGCGCGGCCATGACCCGGTTCCGCGGCAGTGCCCGCCCCGCCGCCATCTTGAGCGCGGCGCGGCCGCTGCCCGGCGCCATCTTGAGGGCGGCGCCGCCATGATGTGGGAGTGGCGGGTCCGTGGAGTCACAGGATCACAGGATCAGTTAGGTTGGAAAAAACCTGTGGGGTCACCGAGTCCAACGTTTGGCCAAGCACCAACGTGTCAACTAGACCGTGGTACTCAGTGCCACGTCCAGTCTTTCCTTAAACACCTCCAGGAATGGTGACTTCACTGCCTCCCTGGGCAGCCCATTCCAATGTCTAATCAGCTTTTCTGTGAAGAAATTCGTCCTAATGTCCAACCTAAACCACTTCTGACACAGCTTAAGACTGTGTCCTCTCGTTCTGTCACTCATTGCCTGAGGGAAGAGCCCAACTCCCACCTGGCTTCACTCTCCTGTCAGGGAGTTGCAGAGAGCGAGAAGGTCCCTCCTGAGCCTCCTTTTCTCCAGGCTGAGCCCCCCCAGCTCCCTCAGCCGCTCCTGGTGCTCCAGACCCTTCCCCAGCTCCGTTGCCCTTCTTTGAACGTGCTCCAGCTCCTCAATGTCCTTCCTGAATTGAGGGGCCCAGAACTGGGCACAGCACTCAAGGTGTGACCTCACCAGTGCCAAGTACAGGCGGACAATCACTGCCCTAGTCCTGATGGTAGAATCACAGAATGGTTTTGGTTGGAAGGGACCTTAAACTCATCTTGTTCCATCCCCCTGCCCTGGGCAGGGACACCTTCCACTAGACCAGGTTGCTCAGAGCCCCATCCAGCCTGATCTCAGAGCTGTCCCCTCACATCTCGGTGGGCTCTGAGGGCACCGTCATTTTGAGGGCAAAACCAGAGTTGCTCGAGGGGGCAGCTCCCTCGCCTCAGCCCCATGACCGCCACTGCTGTGGTATCTGGGGTGCTTGGCCTCCTCTGCCCTCGGCCGCTGACTCACATCAGCCTACGAAGCCCTGAGTTGGCTTCAAAGATGTAAATTCACCCTGCAAGGAGCCCGAGGGTGCAGGAGTGACTCAGAGGGCAGAGGGAGCCTTGCTGGTTTGGCAGGACACCTGTGCCGGGATGTCCTGCAGCCGCCAGGGTGCTCGCTCCATTTGCACCCTGGTTTTCCATGGAGGCAGCAACGTATTTGGGAGAACGATCATCTCCTGGTCCACAAAGTGGGTGAGGAAGACAGAACACCCATGAGTACTGAATGGGTTGACATGAACAAAGTGGGTGCAGCTACCCCTTCTTCCCAGTAAAAACCCTAAATATATACCTATCACTTTCAGTTTCACTGTCTGTGTGTGCAGCCATGATCAGTCTGGGCTCAAACCAGGCTAAATGTTCTAACTTCAGCTGTAGTTGTGAGATAATAGAACCACAGAATGATTTGGGTTGGAAGGGACTTAAAGCTCATCCAGTTCTAACCCCCTGCCATGGGCAGGGACACCTTCCACTATCCCAGGTTGCTCCAAGCCCCATCCATCCTGACCTTGGACACTTCCAGGGGTGGGGCAGCCATAGCTTCTCTGGGTAACCTGTACAAGGGCCTCACCATCCTCATAGGGAAGACTTTCTTCCTAATATCACTATCCTACACTTCACTGATACATGGAGGGCCGTGTAGAATCACCTAGAGCTTCTGTGAGCACACCCATCACACACAACCATGTCCAAGGAGAGCAGCTGGCTTAGCATGGTTATATTAGCTCCTCATCCCAAATCTCAAGTACAGACAGGACCAGAGCTCTGGAATTTCCAGTTACGTGTATGCTTCAGGAATTTTGTTCATAGAAAATGTGTTTTAAAGATGTCCCACAAAGGAAGATGAATAAGTTGCTATTTTCTTCCTGCTTGATTGTTGCCATTTAAGGCCATGAATTACATTAGGGGTTAATTGGGGGTTTCACTTAGAAATAGCAAGTGCCTCAAGTCTTGATTATGTATTTTGCTTCTAGGCCTATGCAAGGGGTCTGGAATCAAAGAGGAAAACCTCTCTTAACCTTTAGATGAGGGAGAGCCTCAGTAAGAGGATATGTACCTGCTTTGTTTGTCATGTGTTTCACTTAAATAAAAAAGTAATGACAAGTTAAATCTGGAGGCCCTTCAGTCAAGACCAACTCGTTTGACATCTGGGAAAAATACCAACCTACCGTATTTGCAGTCATCAAGGAAAGCAGAGACCAGGGTGGAGGAGAACTGCATTTCCAATGCAAATGGTAAATAAAATCATCAGGGAGTCCCAAAGGCAGAGTAAAGGCCCTGCCCAGAGAGCCAGGGCAGCTGGAGCAGCTGGAATTAGGAGTAGCCACAGGTTCCCTCCAGCCCTGGGGCATACATGGACCAGACAGCAGCTGACAACCCCAAATAAGAACTGGGAACAGAGAGGTGTAAGGATCTCCTGAGGAGAAAGCAGGCTTTGTAAGAGGAGCTGCATTTGAACTTGTGATCCACCAAATAATTGAACGGGGTACTGGTGCAGATAAGACATGGAGGTTGAACATGAGGAGGTAGCAGGTGATAAAGGAGGAAGGAAATGAACAACTACACTGAACTCTGGCATTTCTCTTGATGGCCCTGGGAGGTGGCCAGACAGAGTGAGGAGAAACCCTCCCTGCTGTGCCTCATTTCAGGAATGCTCTTCTCCATGTGGGCACCTGGGAGCCTGCTGCGAGGTTGGGTTCTGTTCAGGGCTGGGCCATCTCAGGGCAAACTTTGGTCATCTTACAACTTATACAAGTTTTCTCAAGGAAGGCAGGCACATACCATGCTGTCCCAGTCCAGGCAGGCAAACAAATTAATACCAGTGTCAAGATATTTTGCTCTGTATAAAGCAAAATCTCTTAACTGTTCAAGGCCAGACTGACCTGGGGATTTTATATTTTTACCTCTGAAAAGTCTTGCTTCAGTTCTCTCTGATTCCTAAGACTGATACAACCTGGACATATTTTTGACAGCGTGACTAAAGCCCAGCTGAACTGCAGCAGCCAGAACACTTGGTATGCTTGGGTGGAGTGCTAGCTCCACTGCTGGAAGTGATTCTCAATCCTTGATACAGTTTAATACTGTAAGGCCTGCTAAAGTGGATTACAGATGGGTATAATGCAAGTCAGAGCAGGCTCCAGGTCAGCAATCCTGCAAGGAACAACTTCAGAGACCAGGACTGCTCCTGCCCCAAGCACAGCCCGTACCACAGTCCCATCCCTGACCTGGTACCTCAGAAAGGCCATTTTCTGAAGGTGATGTTTTGCACCTTCTGAGGGGACTTCTACAAGGAGGCCAGTGTAGTTTGAATGCTCTGGGATTTCCTGGGACTTTTGCACGCAGCCAGCTGGCACCTATTCTAGAGGAGCACATGCTCACTAACGAGAGAACAGGACCCTCCTCGTTCAGGGACCGTTTCTGGTCAACTGTCCCTGACACAGCTGAGAGACAATGAGGCCCTTCAGGGCTAAATCCTGAGAGCTGCAACCATCTCCTTTGCCAAGGACATCACTAATTCCCGGCGGTGGCTTGATTCCATAAGCAGCTCAGTGAGGTGACTTTCCAGGTCACCAGCTAATTGCAGGTGAAGTGCCAGTGACTGTCTCCAGCAGGATCGAAAGTTGGGAGCTCTGAGGAAAGGAAGGACATAAAATGTGTTTGCTCAGCTCCCTTGAGCTGAGCCATCACTCCTGGGGCAGCTACAGGGAGGCGGGAAAGGGCTGGGTGGCTTGCAAGGATCTACAGCCGAGTCCTGCCGTCTCTGCAGCCTGAGGAATCCTGGAGTATCATCATGGCTGAGCCAGACAGGGGGACGCGCTCAGGCCGGCCCGTGGGTGGACTTTTTAAACCTCCTGGTCTCCCCACAACCCCTGGCTATTTTTGTGCTGGAGAGGAGGAGGAGGTAGCCAGGGCACTGATTATTCCCTACACGTCTTCTCCTTTGAGTCTAGCATGGCTAGAGCCAGGCCATGGCTAAACCAACTCCTCTGCTGCCCTTCCTGACAGGCCTCTTGGCATTTCCCCACCTCTGTGAAACAGCAAAAGGCGAATCGAAACTTGATGACAGAGAAACTACAGTTAAAAAAATCCCCCTCTTCCAGCGCCTGATGTTCCTTAGAGGAAATCACTCGGGGCTCTCCCCTGCTTGCTGGAGTTGGGAGCAGTGAGTAATGCTCCAGTGGTCCCTGCCCGGCACCACATTCTTTTCTCTAGCATGTAATGGCCCAGAGGAGGGATAAACAGAGCCTTGGCCTCACACTGGAGAGGCATTGGGAAGGGCTGTGGAAGGCTTGGCCTCATTTTACTGGGGAGCTGGTTGCCCAAAACGGCAAGTGAAATGGGAAGAAGGGAGAAAAAGCCCTGCAAAGTGTTAACTAATAGCAAACCTCAGCTGGCTCTGGAGCAGAAAAATCATCCTGGCTGCCCTGCATCCAACAGCTCTACACCAGCCCAGCGCTCACCCTCTCCCTGTGCTCACATCTCTGCCCACCTGAACTGCTCTCGGCCCCCAGCATTTTGTTGCTCTATAGTTTCTCATCGCCATCATCATCTCTTTTGTTCTTTGTGTCTCAACACATTTTCCCACAGTGATCAGTGACCATTTCAGACAGGGCTGAAGAAAGGCACCCCATTTCCCTATTACTGTCATCTTGTCTTGCCTCCTGGCCTTTTTCCTGCCCCGCTCCTACCAGCTCCCTCCCCAGGAGCTGCCATTGCCTCCTCCTCACCCCATTTCCCCAAGACCTCAGGTTAGAAGCCCAGTTTGGGCCTTGCTCCAACCTGTTTTACCTTCTCTGTTGCAAACTGGTGCTTCCAGTAACTTGTCAGCTCAGCCCAGTGTCTGTACCTCCAGCCCTGCCAGGCTCCCACTGCACCCAGGAGGGATGCTGGGGAGATGAAGGGCAGAAACCAGCAGGTCCACCCTGAGTATAGCATGAGACCAG